TAACCATAAAAGGATATTTTGTATGTATATTATTTAAAGGAGAATAATTTTTATGTTTATTAATTAATGAAGAAAACAATAATAATGAATATTAAAAATATTTTTGATCCATCATAATCGAATGCTCCAATTTTTTAAAAATTTTAAATAATGTTTTAATCACATTTTTAATTCATTAAATTTTTTATCAGATTAATTTTATTATTTATTTTTAATCAAACTGAATTTAAAATGATCTCAGTTAGTTCTGCTTTAAGAATAGGGTGTACAAATACTGTAAGTAACATAATCTATGAAATATTTAACTTCTTAAGTAATAACAACTAATAAACTTCCCACTTCATAGCATTTCCTTAGAGTTCATTATATATTTCTACATACATCCCAAATACAATGAATGAAGTTATTTGAAATTTATGAAATATCTGCAGAATGATTTATCTAATCTTCAGAGTTCTAAGATGTAATTTTAAAAATTGTCACACGAGAACTATTTTTCAACTTACATTTCTGCAAAAATTATTATTCAGTTTTAGTGCATAGTACCTTACTGCAATAAATTTTTGCTCATTGATATAAAATCTATTTTGTACTTTTTTTGCTTACTATACTACATACTTCTTATGATGATTTTTGATAATGAGATATGAGGTTAAGTATTTAAATGGACAGTAGGCAGCAGATTATACAACTTGAACTATTTTTGTGGAGTCAAATTTATTGAATTACTTATAAAAACTAATATTTCCTTGAGAAAAAGGATAGATAATGATAACTCAGTGCTCCTTATCATGTTTTATAGAATAATTTACTGTCTTTACTATTAAATACAAGGAATAATTTTAAATGTTTTATTATTTAACTAAAAAATACATCATTTTATTCACTTTTTGTTTCCTGTGATTAACCAGCCAGAAAATTTGCAAAATTCTATATTGCATTTACCGTAATATTTTATTATTATTATTCATTACTGGATACAATTTTAATTTCACTGATGTCACTTGAATTATCCATCCATATTTAGAAAACAAGGAAATGCTTCGAAATTACATCAACATACTTATCATACCACTTAAAAATGTTCACTAATATTTTAATTTATGCTTATACAAACTGCTCTAATGCTTCTAAAATTTAACTGCAGTAAGTTTACAAAAACATTAAAAAAAAAAAAAAAAAAAAAAAAACAGCTCATTCACATTTTAGCCCAATTAAAGCATGTTTAAAATAATGAAAAGTGTATACAGTTACACATAAATAGCTATCTGGCTGGGCTTATGCAAGTGGGGCAGGAAAACCTATCAGAGGGCAGGTTTCAATCAGTCGTATGACAACAGCAGTTCACGGCCACTCAAGTTACATTTTACCTCCAGATTGACCTTTATGTGTTTGCCATAATTTATAAAACAGGCATATTAGGAGTTTTCTCAGAACCTGTGGAAAATATGAGCTATATCAATGAAAATAAACTATAGCAAACTTGTAGCTCTATACTTATGCTCACAGAGTTTTCATTAACTCAATAAATACTTTAAGAAACATGTATTCAGAATAGCATTTTAAATGCTTCATGTGTATAATTTTGCATTTTGCTTTGGTAATCTTTTATCTGCAATGTTAATAAAGATCATTTGAAATATAGATTGCTACTATCTTCAAATAATATGAGTTTATTATTTCAGGACATACTGGCAAAATAAGACATCATATAGCTTCAGAGACTGACAAATCTTGAATTAGTAAGACCCTGTAGGTACAACAGTTTGTTACTTCTGCTTTATCCTAAAATTGGATGCTTGCACACTTTGTATTTCTGAAAGAATGTTTAGTTGTCCTCTGTCTGGCATAAATTTTGAAGACAACAGAACTTTCTCCTTAGTGAGATGCATGATAAGAACAAGATCTTTTTGACAAAAAAAAATAGATGAAAGTTTTTAATTTAGTTCATTATTTAATAGAAAACCAGCAATATTTTGGTTTTTCAACAATTTGGCATTCAACCTTCTAATCTAAAACAGCATTACGTTGCCATTTTTTAGCAATTTGGTGCAACAATTTCAGTACTATAAAATGTAGTTGTGAGACAAAAAAGTAAATATAAAAAAGGTAATATATGTACATATATATATATAAGGTGTCTCATAAGTCTGTAAATATTTTAAAAATTCATACAAACTGAAGGTATTGGTAGAATTGAATACAATTTGTGAAAGAGTTATTCTCGTAAGAAGCGATTTTGGGGGGTAAAGAATTTGTTTCACATACACAGTAACAAGAAATATGCAAATCACAGCCCTATAAATTGCAGGGTTTTGTGAATAACAGCTTATTTCTGGGTTTTACTCCTTCTTGCTTATAGATAAACTTTTTAATTCTGATGCTAACTTTGGTGGATAAAGCATTATTGGTAAAGTTGTTTTATCTCAACCAAGAATCACCAACTGAAGCTTTACAAATGATTTGGACACAGAAGGGAGAAGAAAGGTCCAGGTCCAATTACTCTTGCCAGACCGATTTATCTGGTACAATGTTTCAATGTGTCATTGCCCTTGTAATAGTGCACCAAGTTTATCAGAGCTTTATACTTTCAATGAGGCTTTACAGATGGACACTCCAAGTGAACAGTTAATGAGTGAAGTAAGTAAATGCATGAAAAGTGAAAAAAAAAAAAAAAAAAAAAAAAAAAAAAACCACTGGTATATCAATAGGCATTCCAGATCCAAGGTGTTTTAAAATTTTACGTCTACAAGTTGCAATTAGTGTACCAGCTCTTATCAAATGACAAAGCTAAGGGATATGAATTCGCAAATTCAGCTTTTTTGAAAATCAATGATGATCCACAATGGCTTTTCAATATCTTGTGGACAGATAAGTCTCAGTTTTCGTTGCATGTAACAGTCCCATAACTATATAAACTGGGCAAAGTAGAACCCATGTGTCTGTACTGAGCAGCTCTTACATTCACTGCATTTAATTGTTTGGTGTGGTTTCATTGCATCCACTATCATGAGCCTTTTTTCTTTGAAGAACATTGTGTAAAAGCTGGTTGGAAGACCTGCTCAATCATTGGAAAAACTTCATGCAGCTGCCGCAGAAGAAAGCAATACCATACTTAATGGAACGTAATGCCCTTGAGACAGTGACATTCGTGGAAGATGAGGCGCCTTCTCATATCACAAAGGAAGTGAAGACATTCTTAATCAGAACCTTCACCAAAGAGCAAATAATGTACTGTCACTGTAAAAATGAGTGGCTCCCTCACTTGCTTAACTCCAAATGACTTGATTTTTGACTTTGGGATTAAGTGTACTGCAACAGCCCACCTTTGGTGCAGTTAACACTTTCCAGCACACTACACCTTTTAAAGTTAACACTACACCTTTTTAAGTTAGAATTTCAACACAAAATGGTAGGTAGTCTAATCAAGCTTAGAGGAGCACACAGGTAAAATTATTTAAAGATAGTACAGTACAAAATCCGTAATCCGGACGTCCATTATCCGGGATGATATGTAATCTGGACCTCAAAGCCACAAACTTTTTTTTTTGTATGTTTTACGCGTAATGCGTTTAATGCTCACTTCCGATATGCATGCGCGCATGTGTCGCTTCCAATAGTGAAGAAAGTGACAGAGAGGTTATCGAAAACGAAAAAATTTAGATTGACAAATTAGTCGGTATTCTCGACACAGCAATTACAAGACTTGAACAGTCGAACTTTGTAACTGAATGTCTGTTTACAGAATTAAAGAGAAAGTATTAGCATAAAAACGAAGCAACTTAAACAACTTATATTGAAAGAAATGTTTAATACAGTAAACAAATAAATATTAAGCTTTTTTTTTGTAATATAAATTATAAAATAAATAAATTATAAATAAAATATAAATATAAATTATAAAATAAAATTAGATAAAACATCTACAGGTCAAAACATAGAGCTAACAAAACTTCTTTCAACAAAAGTGAAAGAAAACAGAAAACTGCTGTAGTGAAAAATCAAAGAGCTAACTGATAAAATTAGCCTCGACCTTCAGAAAAACATTCCAATATTTTCTTTGTTGATAACCAAACCTTCTCTTCCCCCCTCCCAAAAACAAAGAAAAGAAGAGGGAAAGGAAAATAGGAAATAAAACACATGTGTACCCACCTTTCGGTTGTGAATGAACTCATTGAAGAAAATACTGCAGTAAAACAGTTGTTGATCTGGTCCAGGTGTTTCAGTGATCCTACTCTGGGAACACCAGATGTCTGCTGTTCAATTTTAAGCAAGATTTCAAAGTAAGAATTTAAAACTAATACAGAATAAAGAGATCAGCATACAGCCAAGAAAATAACATAGAAATTTCTTTTCAAACAATTCCTTTTATACTCTAAGAAGATCTATGGAAGATTTCTTGGAAAAATGAGGCTTCTTAAAAACTGGTTTGTATTGTGCTACCATTTAGCATAGCAGGTTAAAAATAACTATAGTATAGTAACCTATAAAGCTCTTTCCATTCAATTTTTCTGCATGTACAGAGGGAATTTTTTTTTGGGGGGGGGTGTCCAGACTAGGCACACTGTGCCGAAAAGGATTCAAGGAAGCTATTCGCCACGAAATTTCTTGCATCCATTTAGATATGCTACATGCTGCAGTTAACAGTGTTGCAACTCAGTTGAAAAGTATAATTTATGGTAATGATGGACACAAACAATAAAAGTAATATGCTTGTAAATATTTGCCTGCATGCAAATAAATATAGATCCCACAGAAAACTACATTTATTTGTTTGCAATTTGCTTCCATACAGTGCCCTCTATCGACGATAATTTTAAACATTTTTCTCTTTACCCCCCCCAAAAAAACCTCATAAGAATAACTTCTTCACAAACTGTGCTCTACCAGTTCCTTCAATTTGTATGAATTTTTAAAATATTTACAAACTTATGGGACAACTGGTATATATGTATAAGGTTTATGATAAAACTGAAACAATAAAGCAAAAGATAGCTTACTTCTTCACCATTTGTTGCCTGGTTTTTGCCAGACCAAAATAAATGTGAACATACACAAACACCTCGACATTGATCTGGTTTCTTGAGTAACTTAGATGTAGCTAAAGCACATTGTGTTCTTAATGGTTCATGATTTTCTGCACTGAAGCAGGACATTTGTTCCACTGTTGCAATAATAAGAGTGATTGCTGCTAGCTGTGCTTTACTGTCTGATATTTCATCTTCATACAAAGAAAATGCCTGAGGAAAAAATAATTTATGATTTATAAAAGGAATTTGTTAAAAGCTATTTTTTTTTTTTAACACTGGGAGTTACGCATGAAAGTGATTTAGAGTATATGTTAAAAAAGTACATAATATAATATTCAAGTAAAGAGTTTAAAGAATTTTAAGAAAATTTCCTCATTCATTGCGAAAAATAATATTAATGATCTTTTTATTTTTATGATTCACATATTTCATATCAGTTATTATCAATGCACATATTCATTTTTCAAAATACACACTATGTCCAAATTTGTCTTTATATACCATCGCACCCCCCAAAGATATTCCACAAAATATCCAATCAATGTAATCCACTTTTGCGAAAAATGTATAAGAGACAAGTGTAATTAAGCAGTATCCAATCAAAAATGATCAAGCGGTTTTCGATATACAAATCAAAGCATTACAGCATTTGATTTTGGTGTGTAAAGACTCAAATGGTTCATAACTCTGAAGTATTATGTGGAAGAATCATTAAAATGGCAAATCATTGGCCATTTAAATCCGTAATCCGGACGTCCATTATCCAGGATGATATGTAATCTGGACCTCAAAGCCACAAAGATAGACAATCATGGAAACAATGAGATGTGTAAATATTTGAAGACAGTGTCTATGCTATGTTAACAATTTCAGAACTCTGGAACAAATGAAAGGAGACCTTAACAAGATTGTAAATGAATAGCAATTGCTTCTCAAGATTGATATATAACAATAACTGCCTGTCATAACAAGAAGTTTACATAGCTTGGCAATTAAGTTAAGAGCTTAGAGCTATTGTAACTATTGTATCACAGAAAACTGTACACATAAGGCTTAATGAAAAAGACCTTTATGCTAGAAATACAAGGGCAGGAGTTTCACTGTCTTCACAACAAAAGAGGAATCATTTTAATTGGTACAAAGAACATTAGAACTGGAGTAAACATCAATGGTTCCACATTCTGTATATTGACGAATTGAGATTTAGTTCAACATCTACTTTTAAATGTGTTTACACTTGTAGAGAGTTAGAGAAGTAAAATTTTCCTTCAAACGTTATGGAACATAACTGTTTCAGTAATGCAGTTGTGATCGTATCGAGAATAATAATGATCGATGAAGTACACTCTTACACATTTTCCAAAGCAGATCTGTAACCATCCAGAGATATCAGGATGCGATCTTAGAATCTTATGAAAGAGTTTCTAGAGGTGCATATGGATCTTTTTACTTTTTTTTTTTTTTTTTAAACATACAGTTCTGACTTTTTAGTTATGGACAATAATGCTCATCCACACTAAGCAAACCTCGATGATGACCTTAACTGATACAGAACTTATGGAAATACCTTGGAAAAGCAGTTGCAAGGAGACATCCTCCTCCTAAATTCCCAAACTGTAGCTAACATTAATGCCAGTATAAAAACAAGTTATGATATGCGAGTACAAGTCAGAGCAGATCACATTCTATATTAAATTCATAAGCCTTAGTTTTTTCCCTGAACTCTCCTTGCAGTATATTAGCACGATTTTTATTGTTTGATGCTAATTTTTATTGTTTATATCATGTGCATTTTCTTAGTTTTTTTTTCCTTTAATATTTACGCATTATGATGAAATATATCGCTCCACACAAATAAAATCACAGTTCATAAAATTCATTCATAAAATCATAGTTCACAGTTTCTTGAGAAATCCACGATTTCATCATGCATATAAAGATAATTTTGGAATTAATGTTTATGTTTTTTGTGTCTTCACATCAACATATATAAAAGTTATTTGAATGATATAGGATCAAATAGCAAACTACACTGCCTTAATAACTGAAGGAAAGTTTTGGTTAAATAATAATTTTCTCCAAAATTTTTAGATTCTACTAATAAAAAAATAACAGTTTGTTTCAAAGCAGTTAAAATTTGATGTCTAGCACAACTGATGGTTGAAACACCCCACTTCACAGTAAAACTAATACATAAATTTACTTGTAATTTAAGGATGTGTGGTAAATTACCTCATAATACTTTTTTACATAAAACTTTTTTAAGTTGCACTAAAAAAAGAAAGTATGATTTTTAACGAGCATTTTGAGGAAGCATCTTATATTTCATCATCTTATATTTATTATTCTTCTTAATGAGCATCTTATATTTTCCCTAATGTAGTGAATTACTATATAGTATACTTCCTTATTATTATGGCCCCCCCCATTTTTTAAATGCCAAGTTGGCATTTGAATTATTTACAAATTCATGTTTACTTTTCACACAGACTTTGTGCCTTCCATGTTTAAGGGATTGCATTTAATATGGCACCAGGAGCATTTTCTCATTCCAAAGACTTATTAAGACACCACATGAATTACGCAAGGTAAAATTCAAGATGTTGGCAAAGCATGCCTTATTGATTTGAATTCCAAGACCTAGCAAAGCATCACAATCTGTCAAATTTTATGCATGAGTAGCTGCTGTTACTCATGAGCAACAAAATTAGATTTATGATTCACAGTAAAATGTTTCTAACCTGCCTTTTCCAACTCCTCTGTTTTATATGCTCGCCAAATGCCTGAATAAATCATCAGTCCCTTTCGTACATGGTCAATGATTTTTGTCATAAATGCCAATGCCTCTTAGGTCAGAATCTGAGCGAGGGAAAAATTCACCAGTTTCATGGCAAAGTCTGCCATATTTCCAGTAATGTGGAAAAATCCTATTGGCTTAGTCCCCCCCCCCATATGAACAGACTTCTGTTTATGTCCACAAATTTTCAAGGTCATCTGTTTACTTATTTGATTGTCAGAATAGCAATAGAAAATATACGTATTTCATAAAAATTTTCAAATAAATAGTAGGTTGATTAATAACTCATGGTATAGTGGTTGGTGATGCTGACTGTCGTACTGACTGGCCTAGGTCTGAATCCCGGAGAATGCATGGATGTTTTTGAACGTACAGTGTTTGTGAGACAAGGGGGCACTCAAAATATTATGCAAGCCAGAAGTCCTCTAAAGAGGCTGCTGGCAGAGGAAGAGGGGTGGAAAACCCCCAGACTGCCTCCCCCTGCTGTAGGCTATGGTAGGGAAAGAGGGATGAGAGACCCTTAGATCACTCTATGGGATATTCTCTCTCAAAACTGGCCAGAACTGCACAGTTGTCGCATTATCTTTATACTTGGATAACCGATGTAACTGCTGTTACTCTGAAACTCTGGTAAAACTCTGAAGTCCTACCCCCTTTTACCCATACATGTAAAGGCTAAGTTGCTTCTCCCACCACTTAATCAACATCAGTTTCTTTGCCCAATGGTTAATAAATCACAGTGCTGTTATAAAATAATATTCTGAAACCAGTATATAAGTTGTGAAAACATATTATTTTCTTTTAATTACAACTTTTCACACTGCACCTCCAAATGCTTTTATTGATGTATATTAAAAAATGAAAATGCTCATTAAAAATGGGCATTTTTGATATTCAAATGTGAGGAAAATGCATCTTCCTAAGAGCTACCTGGTTGATCCTGCAAGTAATCATATGTTTGTCTCAAAGTTTAAGCCATGCATGTCTAAGTACATGTTGTATTAAGGCGAAACTGCGAATGGCTCGTTAAATCAGTTATGGTTCCTTGGATGACTTTGGCAATTCTAGAGATAATACACGCAGCAGAGCTTCAACCCTCTGTAGACAAGCGCTTTTATTAGACCTTGTGTCCATGTTATGTGGTGACTCTGTATAACTTTGGGCTGATCGCATGGGCTCATCCTGACGACGTATCTTTCAAGTGCCTGCCTTATCAACTGTCGATGGCTGGTTATGCGCCTACCAAGATCATAATGGGTGACAGGGAATCAGGGTTCGTTTCCAAAGAGAGAGGCCTGAGAAACGGCTACCACATCCAAGGAAGGCAGCAGGTGGGCAAATTACACACTCTCAGAACGGGGAGGTAGTGATGAAAAATAACAACATTGGACTCTCTTGAGACCCCATAACAGGAATGAATACACTCTAAATCCTTTATCAAGGATCAACTGGAGAGCAAGGTCTGGTGCCAGCAGCTGCTGTAATTCCAGCTCCATTAGCATATATTAAAGTTGTTGCAAATAAAAACCTCATACTTGGATTTCAGTTCCAGATGGGTGGTCCGCCTATCAGTGGTTACTGCCTGTTTGGAACAGACAGCCAGTTTCCTGTGATGATCTTCACCAGTTGTCTTGGGTGACCGGCAAGTTTACTTTGAAAAAAATTAGAGTGCTCAAAGCAAGCTTGATGCCTGAATAATGGTGCATGGAATAATGGTATAGGGCCTCGGTTCTATTTTGTTGGTTTTTGGAATACGAGATAATGAAGAAAATGCCATCATATTTTAGAGGAATTATCAAGTAACAGTAAAAGATAACACAACAATTCGGAAGATTTTCTAGAATTCTTATAAACAATTTTAAACCATAAATTTCATAATAATAATGCAAAGTGATACAAACCTGCGATACAAATTCGTACGCAACAGCTTCATGGTTTTCATATCCTATTTGTCCAGAAGCAAGAGCACCTTGAAGAAACAGCCTTAATGGAAGTTCTGCCATTTCTGCTTTGATGAGTACATTAATAGTTTGGAGACAGAATTTAAATATCTTTTGGCACTTTTTCTCCCATTTATCGTCCTATGTTTAAAATAAATGATAATCTAGTACCGAATTTTGCTCAATATGAAATACCCAGAAGATATTTAAAAAAAGAGAATGCTTTATTTTTGACGCTGCTTCTTTTTCATGTCCTCTGGGTGTATAGGAAATTTTACAAAATGAAAAATAATAAAAAATAATAACTTAATAAATATGAAGCTAAATTCGTTATAAAATAATTAACATTATATATTAACTACAATGCAAATGATAATTAGCAATAGATGGGAAGCAAATGACACATATTTATTCATTTTCAAAAACAAAATTCTAATAGTTTAAATTTTACAAAATGAAATAACATATCAGTCAGAATAAAAGCTTCATGAACAAAATGACTCAATTTTTTAAGATAGTTTCATATAGAAAGAAGTAGCTTACTCTAAGCATTATTTCAGCTTTGTGTAAGCTGCTTCTAAGGCTATATGTAGTATACACATTTACCATATCTGCCAGCGTATAAGGTGCACTTTTTTTCTTTGAAAATAGGTCTGAAAAACAGGGTGCGTCTTATATACATCAATACTCAGTTTTTGATTACATTCATTCTGGAAATTTCTTCTATTCGGAGTCATGCAATTTATTTCTTGTTTTCTTGCTGAGCATGGGAATATTACAGTTATGTAGAGTTCAGTGAATGCGCATGTGCTGTCATCGACGATCACAACTGGGTTCGTTTAAGCATTCCAGTTTTTGTAAATGACTTTTAAGAGTGTGAAATTTCTACTGTTCAATTTTCTTAAATTTGTTGGCAAGTTATGGCTCAAAAACAGCATTGGGATTGCTATAACATAGCATACAAGCTATGTGTGACTGCATATGCTAAAGAATATAGAAACAGGGCTGCAGGAGAGGCATTTCGGGCCACCCCCAACTGACAAAATTATAAGAACTTGGCGGAATCAGGAAGAGGATCGAAAAAAAAGCAGCTCACAGTAAACATAACCTATGAAGGGAAACTGCACAATGCCTAAACTTGAGGAAGAACTGAATACTTGGATTTTAAGACCACTGAAATGTGGGACTTTCAGTCTACAAAAATAATTATTCATCAAATAAAAGCAATAGCAACTGACAGAAAGATTGCCAATTTTACTGGAGCTACATCATGTTGTTCAAGAGTCCTGAAGAGAAACCAGCTATGTATGCGGACTAAAACAAAAATATTGCAAAAGATACCAGATGAATATGAAGAAAAAAGTGTTGAATTTCATCAATTCGTCATTAATGCACGAAAACGAGTTGCACAAATAAGAAAATGGACCAGGTTCCTCTGAACTTTTTATGTACCGTCAAACAAAACTGTAGATTCCAAAGTTACAAAAATTGTTACCGTTAAAGCTTCAGCACACGAAAAAAAACTCACTACACAGTTATTTTATCCTGCTGTGCTAATGATACAAAATTCCCCCCCCTATTGAGTTTTAAAACAAAGACACTATCCAAAGACTAAAGGAGTGTTTATACACATTCACACAAAAGGCTGGATGGATGGAGGATGAATGGACATATGAAATTTGGTTGAGGCACCTAGCGGACTTTTGAAGAAACCTGCCCTACTAGTATGAGATCAGTTTCGTTCTCACAGAATAGAAGATGTTAAAAATAAACTCAAAGAATCGAAAAACTCAGTTGTAATTCCAGATGTCCTAACTAGTCAGCTTCAACCTTCAGATGTCTGCATTAATAAACCATTTACGGAGTTTATGAAGGAGAAGTGGAACAGCTGGATGCAGTCTTCAAATTTTGAAGTTATACCATCAAGAACAAGGAAAAGGTCTGGCATTTCATATGTTTGTGAATGGGTCAAAACTTCATGCGATGCTGTGAAAACACAGAATGTGGTTAAATCATTTAAGAAGTGTGGCATTAGTAATGCACTGGATGGTACAGAGGGCAATCTGTTGTATGATGACTCAGTTGCAGATTTAGAAGAGGTTTCAAGTGACTTTTCACTTAGCTCTGGAGATGAGTGCCTGGGATATGATGAAGGAAATTAAAAGGTGTTCTTTCTGACATAGATTGGATATTTGCAAAAAGTATTACTTTGTATTTGCATTACTTTATATTTAGTGTTCGGTGTCTGAAAGAGTATTGCTTGGCAGCATTGTTTTATGCCAAGCAGAGTTTGGCTTTAGTGTAACCCTAAAGTTATTTCATTTTTGCTTTATTAGTATGAATGATTTCTGACTTGATGTAAGAGCATATGGTTGCTCGCTCTTTAGCTAAGTTACATAGGTAACTATAAGCACATGCGTGTGCTAGTATTCAATAATGTTGTTTTTGTTAAAATAAAATTGTTATTGTTAATATTACAGTCCACTTACTGAAGTTAAATTATCATTAAATAAAGTTCGAGCTATCTTCGGCAAGAACAGTTTGGTCTCTACGTTAGCCGGAGAAGAAAATGGCCTACTAATATTGTTTCATTGAATCGCCAACGCGGCGTAGTGAAAACGATAAAACTCGGAGCTTTGATAAAATTCCTTGATGAGTATAAAATGGAGGAGAATAAACTCAACCATGATGTTATTATGAAGACTTAATTGGATTCTTTGTTGGAATTAAAATCTCGGGTTAAACACCTCATAGTGGAATATACCAATTTGCCAGAGGAAATTGACTTGAAGGATAATCTAAGCATTACACAAGAATTGGAAGAAAGCATCGAAGAGTTCGAAGTAAGATTTAGAATTTTTCTTTCTAATTGTGAAACAATAAATAAGATAAATTTGAAACCAAAACTGTTTCTAAATCAAATTTTAAACTGCCTGATTTACCTCTTCCTCAATTTTATGGTAAATATGAAGATTTTAAAAATTTTAAGTGCAATTTATGTCTATGATTGGTAATAATAATAATTTAAATGATACTGAGAAACTGTTTTATTTGAAAGCATCACTTAAAGGTGAAGCAAAAATGTTAGAATCATGTCAGGATACATTTGAGTCGCTTTTTCTGCACTTGAAAGCAGATATGAAACAAAAGAGCAGTAGTTGATGCCTTTATCAATACTTTGTTGAAATTTGAAAAAATAAATGACTCACCTTCTCAGTTGAGATCACTGGTAGATAATGTTTAAAAGATGTTGAGATCTTTAAGTGTATTAGAATTTGATAGAAATAATTTATCTGATGTTTAGATATTAAATATTTTATTGCATAAATTAGATAGAGAATCTGGAAAAGCATTTGAACTAAACGTAAAATCAAATGAAATTCCCAAACTTGATGAATTTTTAGAATTTCTTGAAGAAAGAATTCGAATTCTTAAAGAAATAAACAAAGTTAGTTTTCCTAAGCAGAGCTATGCTACTAAAGTATCAAATCAATTAAATTGCTCTAGAAATTCAAAACCCTTGATAACTAAAACAAACCCTTTTCGAAAGTGTATTATGTGTAAAGAACCACACCCAATTTATCATTGTTCGAAATTTAAGAGCATTTCTGTTTCTGAGCGGTATGATTTTGTTAAAGAATATAAATTATGCATTAAATGCCTTTCTCCATCAACACGTATTATCGCTGTGTAAGGCTAAACTCAAGTTGTTATGTCTGTAAGAAAGACACACATCATTCGCTGTTACATAAAATTGACGAAAAACAAAATGAATCATCGAAAGAAAATGAATTGACCTTGAACTTTTCGTCAGTGAATAGGAAAGAGGACTGCTCCTCTCTCCCCCATACAACTTTGATGGCAGCTGCAAATAAATCTAAATTTGTGTTAATAAATACAGCAATTGTTTATCTTCGCGATATTTACAATGAACGAATTCCTTTTAGAGCAGTGCTTGATTCAGCTTCGACTTCTAATTTTTGTACTGTAGGTGTTATGAACTCATTAAGAATAAAAAAAGAACGAGCATTTATTCCAGTTAGTGGAATAGGCAACACTACTTTGAATGTTAAAATCGCAATAAAGACGCGTTTTATCGAACTTAGAAAAGGAAAATGAATGGGAAATAGAGTTATTAGTTGTTCCCAAAATAACTGACATGACACCATCGAAATCTATTGATAATTTCGAAATTAAATATTCCGAAAGGAATAAAGTTAGCTGATGATGATTTTTTCAAGGCAAAAAAAGGTATTTATTATTAGGGCGGAATTATTTTTTTGAATTTTTAAAAACAGATAAAATACATTTAAAAAGATAATGAGTTACTTCTTCAAAACAGCTGCTTCGGCTTTTTAGTTTCTGGAGCATTAGAATTCCAAATGTAAAAATTATGACTAAATTATTGTTTTTTTCAATAGAGATTAATTCGTTAATAACTTATAAAGTCATTCTGGGAAGTTGAAGAAGGTAAATGAAACTAAATCTACAGTTAATTCTGAATTAAAATTATTGCAACGAACTTTTTAAAAACTCATTTTACCGGCGAATGCGGATGGAAGATATGTGGTTAAAATGCCGTTCAAGCCAGATATTGGTGAAAACATACAATTAGGGGATTCAAAAGGAAATCGCTGAAAAAAGACTGAATCAAGTTGTTGAAACGTTTGTCGAGTAATTCTGTAATGAAAGAAGTTTATGTTTCATTTTTAAGGGAATATGAATCATTAAAGCATATGGAAAAGATGGAAGACTATTCTGAAACTGAACGAAAATATTTTCTTCCTCATCATGGCGTGCTGAAACCTCATAGTAAAACAACAAAGTTACGTGTCGTGCTCGACGCGAGTGCCAATAACTACTAACGATTGTTTATTGAACGACATATTATGTAAAGGTGGAATCATTCAAGAGGAACTTTTTTCCATCATGATTACGGTTTAGAAAGCATATTTTTGCATTTACTGCCGATATTGAGATGTTTCGACAAATTGAAATATTGCCATCGCAGACCAAATATCAGAAAATACTTTGGAAGGAAGATGAAGATAAGCCTATAGAACTATACAGACTCAAAACGGTAACTTATGGCACAGCATGCGCTCCATATTTGGCACAAAGGACTCTTCAACCAGTTAGCG